GCGCCTTGACACCCACTTCAAGCCCGGACTCCTCAAAAGGTTCTTTACCAGCCACCATGGTTTCTTGAGTGGGAACAAATTCTTCATTCAAACTATTGGACTCTTTATCAGAGCTCGCTGTTTCTTGTTTAGGCTGTATCGACTCGGGATTCCCCGCTGGAGGCACGTCGTTTAAGTCATCTGTTGGTTGCGCCTTGACACCCACTTCAAGCCCGGACTCCTCAAAAGGTCCCTTGCCAGCGGCCATGGTTTCTTGAGTGGGGACAAGTTCTTCTTTCAAACTGTTGGAGTTAGCTTCAGAGCAAGCAGTTTCTTGCTTAGGTCGCTTCACATTTGGATTGTCAACTGAAGACAGGTCGTTGCCCGTTTGAATTTCTTCTGTGTTTTCTTCTTCCGCATCTTGCTCTTGGCTGGGTTTTCCTGTCTCCTGCAACGACTCGCTCTTAACTTGATCAGATTCCTCAGTAAGTCCTTTAATTGGACTCACGGTCTCCTGAGTAGGACGTACCTCTTCTTCTTCGGTACTTTTAGTCTTGACCGCGGAATTAGCGGTTTCCTGTAAAGGTTTACTCTCAGAGAGACCTTCCGTTTCATTGCCTGGGCTCTCCTTAAATGGTTTCTGTTTCTCAGTATCTTCTAAACTCTTCAAGGACTGATCCCCGCTCGTGTCAGATTTGCCAGGTTCTTTCGTCTCTTGTACAGGTTTCTCTTTGTCAAACTCTTCAAAATGCTGTAAGGACTGCTCGCCAACTGTTTGATTTTTGCCAGTCTGCCCAGTCTCTTGAAGTGGCTTTTCTTTATCAAACTCTTCAACACCTTCTTGAAGAGAATCCTCCGCGCCAAATTTGGGTTGCTCTATCTTCTCATCCTTTGTCACGTCTTCAATTTCTCGTACTGGCTTCTCTTCAAAGACCTGTTCGCCTGCAAGATGTTTCAAGCTTTCATCCGTGCTGTCTTTTGGCGGGTTGGCAGACTCTTGAACTGGCCTATCTTTCAGCTTCTCATCCTCACCGTCAAGAGATTTGTCCCTGCCAGAGGTAGCTTGTGTAGGCGATCTTGCGTCTTGAGTGGCCGACCTGGGTGTCCCAGTGTCGAAGGGGGACGTAACAACTGGTAGTGGTGACCTTGGATCCTGAACAGGCGTCTTGCCAGGTATCTGAGATGGTAAACGTATACCTGACTGTGGTGGGGACGAAGCGATTAATGAAGGATCCCCTGTATAGGCAAAGATAACAACAACAAAAAAAAAAACAAAAAAAAAAAAACACACGGTTAATGGAATTTTTAAAAAAGCCAAATAATTATCAGAATTCCTCGGCGCAGTTCTTAAAGGAAAACGTGTTTCCCATCATATCCTTCCGCACTACGAAAAGAACCACGGTGGAGTTGTTTGTATAGCGTCAGACCTGGTTTTTGTCCAAACCCAGGCGTCTGCTTTCGTTTAGCTTACAGACAAGGAGGGAAACATGCCCCCCGGGCGGCGGGCGGGGGGAGGGGGTTACACCTCTAATGGCCAATACGGGGAGGTTCCGCCCGAAAGGCTTCAGGTATATAAAATGGTAGGGATTTCACTAGTTGACGTATATGAAAGGATAGGGAAATCTGTCATCTTGGTCTTTCATAAGGCGCAAAAAGGGCTGAGAGATACAAATTATGGCTGTGAAGTCGAGGAAACGTTCTGGTTTTGTGATTTATTCATATTTTAGAGACAATGCATTTACAGCAAGGGATGCGAAGCTCTGAACTAGGTATGTAAAAGCGGTACCATTTGTCAATAGAAGGTATGCAAAAGGGGTAAGATTTTTTCAAAAATACCATATAAAAGGGTAAGGGATTGCACCTCGGGGCGGAACCTCCCCATATAAAACTTTGTTGAGTACCCTCATCCCGGGATATGGCCCTGGACAAAAAAACCACCATCCATCACTACCAAAGGTAACCTAGCGATACCAACCTGAACTGGGAGCGTTGATAGTATTCGCTGAGTTTGCTCCTCCAACATTAATAAATGCTTGTTGAGAGTTGACAGTTATTACGTTACCTCTACCTGGGAGATGAAAAAAACAATAGCTTTCAACATTAATATTTCATCACCAAGGACTGATCTCAGGTTACTGAAGGCAAGACTGGAGACCAGACAATCGAGAGTGCCAGGAGAGGCCTATGTAGCGAGAGAGAAACATGCACAGGGTAAAGGAGCTTGCGTCATGAGAAGCTGACACCGACTGAGGTGTTATTGCTTAGCAATCGGTGAAGCAGAAAAATAGTTGAAGGGTACCTTATTTTATGCTGAGATCACACAGCTATCACACGATCTTGGGAATAAAAGAATACTTTCAAAGTTCTTGACCATGGGAAGAACCACTAACAATTGTGACTTAAAACTCACTCCGCCTAAATTAGCATTAATATTCACATCCCTCTTACTGGAAAACAGAATTAGACTAAAATTTTTCTCACACTCGTGAAGCGCGCGAGCCTAACACGCCACATGCGCGAAGTGCGCGTACTTGACTACGGAAATGTACAGACTGTTTTGCAGTCTACACCGGATACAATTATTAAACTGTTGTAAACACCAGAAAAAAAAAGAGTGAAGGTGAAGCAGAAGACATTTCAGAAAAAAAAAATTAAAGTATTATCAACAGAGAAAAAAAATGTAGTAGGTAGGGGCAATCGATAACATTTTGTATACTTGCCTGGAGATTCCCCTACAAAGGAACTCTGAGCGGGCTTCAAAGATTCCTGGTAAAAAAATAGTACATAATTAAGAATAGCCAGGATTACCGAAACGGTTTGCTTCAGTCTTTGGTTGGGGTGGGGAGGGTGGGAAATGATTTTCCTTCGAATAATCGAACCACAATTTGTCATTAGGAAGATTCCACAAAAGGTGAATTAGCAAGTGTCAAGACATAGTGGCCTAGCGGTTACCTCGAACTTGCGTTAGTAAGGGACGCGTGTAAAGAAACCAGAAGGGGGTTTTGCGTTTACCTCAGAACGGGCACACGAAAAAAAATACGCTTTGTTTTTGACTGCCACTTCAACCTGAACTTTAACATAACCAAAACTTGTAGGAGTGCTTTTTTTCATCTACACAATATTAGACGCGTCAGAAAACGTGTTCAAAACGCAGTTTCAAGAGTTCTATATCTAGCACCACGGTATTGCCATATCACACCAATATTATACGAATTACACAGGCTGCCTGTAACGTTTAGAATAGAACATAAGATTATTATAATTACTCACAAAGCAATCCATGGAACAGCTCCTAATTATTTATCTCTCGTTAACTTTAAACCTAATTCTTCCTACAGCCTAAGATCAAATAACAAATATCTGCTTTCAAATCCAAACTTCAGGACTCTCCCTACTCTTGGTAACCGAGCCTTTGTAGCCGCCGCACCAAAATTGTGGAACAATCTTCCGTTAGATCTTAGATGCACCTCCGATTTTGAAGTTTTTAAACGTTATTTGAAGACTCACCTTTTTAAAAAAGCCTTTCCTGATATAACGTTGTAATTTATAGACTAGATAATTATTCATTCGTGTAATTTTTAATTGCAAGGCGCATTTGAAAACTGTATAGTTGAATTTTCGCGGTATAAATAAATGAATAATAATAATAATAATAATAATAATAATAATAATAATAATAATAATAATAATAATAAGAGTGCCAATGTACTTAGTTCGAAAGTACTAATTACGGGCATTATGTTTTGACGTCGCCTACTGGAGACGGGACCGCCATTTTACGTGGCCATCAGAGCCACGCAAAGGTCTTGCCGTTTGCAGGGCAAAGGCAGTAACTTAATTTCTCTGTTATTTTAAGACACTGAGTATTGGTCCGGCTTAGGGGAATCAAACCCGCGACCTCCCGCTCTGCAGTTAAGCGCTCTACCGGCCGACTGAACTAATTCTGCCGCGGATCACAGCATCGAATTTGACGTTAATTGAGTGTGGTAGTTCAGGCCAAAACCGGGAATTCCAAAGAAAGTAGAACCATTGGTCTAAAAAACACCCGGTCATCGAGGGTGAACACTGCCTTAACTGCCTGTACGTAAAACTTCTCTGAGGCTCCATATTTCTTACAATCCTATTTGGAATTTAGGTGTTACTCACCGAATCTACACTAGAACGAAATGGGAATCTCCAGCCAAGCTGCTTCCTCTTCCGCATGAACTCACTGACAATCTGGCGAGAAAAAAAAGTCCGGTTTTTGATCACACCTAAGACTCAACTTGCTCTTTATAAGTGGCGGTAAAACTAAGAGTTCTATTTCATCACTATTGCCACAGTGATCCCATGATATTGCATCACACGCGTGATCGTCTGTGTCTTGAAATGGCATCAGTGATAATGTTGAAAGGTGACTTGTCAAACCACTTCTTCCCAATCAATAATTGATATTCAATTCAATTATTGAAGAACTGCCACCTGGCCGAGGCAGGTTATGTATTTCATTAACTGTCATTTAACTAATCGTGCTTTCTAATTTCGTACTTCACCATTTTATCTCGCATGGCTTCACAAAATTAAGCATACGTCTAATTTATCCAGCGACAGGTGATTTCAGTCAATGGTTGAAGTTCTGCTGTCGGTTTTTAGCAGACAGACATTTCATCAGCTATTGACATTTCGCTCAACATTCGGTTATTATACTTAGCATATCTTATACCAATTAATGTCTGGATACGTTTTTATTTACTTGAAGTAACGGTGAAGAATATAAAATGCAAGCTGAAAAATAATCTAAAACGCTTGAGGATGCACGCTGTATCCTCGAATCCCAGTCACTAGGAAATTAAACCGACTGGGAAAAATGACAAACAAACATTGAGTTAACTTATTGTTGAAACAGTTTGTCATTAAGTTGAGTAAAACGTGGGTAAATGCTCATTTCCATAAAATATACATGTATATTAAATTTCCTTTTCTTATACAAAGCACGTTTCATTTGCGAAAACTTTCTTTTCTTTAAACTGATTGGTTATTTGATGGGGAATTTTAGCTCTCGGAAGAATACTCAATTCATATTTTATGTCAAAACCATGACACTGGCGAACTATTTCCTTTTCGTGTCGATATTTTTTGATATCTACAGTTTGAATTTAGCCGCAGACTGTCAGAGAAGATGCGAACAAAGCAAAGGAAGTATTGGTAAAACGGGAATGAAAAATCTGGCTATGCAAGGGCACAGCTTTAAAAATTACACGCTGTCGAAACCGTATGACTGTCATGTAAAATGCTTTGAGGAGAAATGTAAATGCAAAGCGTACCAAATAAGGGAAAATCGATGCGAGTTGCTGGATGAAGACAGATTTTCTGCTCCTGAAGACTTTTTCAAGGAAAAGGGGTACACTTATTATGATATGAATAGAGAATACGTCAATCAGGTAACCAGTGAATCTAATGTCGAATGTCTCCTGCTTTGCCAAAGGAAGACACAGACAGTCTGTCTAGATTATACTTAATCAGAGTAAGGATTGTATTTAGGCTTTATTCGGTATTGCCTCGTCATGTAGTTAATAAAACAGGTTGCAATCTTTTGATAGAAATGCACTATTTTGGAAGCCAGGGGGGGGGGGGGGTACTCCTCGGAATTCTTGGGGGGGGTGGGCCGCCTGGTTCTCAAAATTTTGACCCTTTTTTAGACTGTGAAAAACTTTAATTTTCCAAACCCGTTTTCCAACCAGCCCCTTAAAATCCATATACCCGTTTCCAAACCCGTCCTTCCGGCACAAATTAAGTTAGAATTACTTACACTGGACCGCAAAATGTCCGTTGTGTGTGGGATATGACTGGAGGGGTTACGTGTGTGTCCACTAGGTCTGTTTGGGGGGGGGGGGGGGGGGGGTTGTTCTCCTCGGAATTCTTGGTGGGGGTGTGCCGCCTGGTTCTCAAAATCTTGACGCTATTTTAGACTGTGAAAAACTGTAATTTTCCAAACCCGTTTTCAGACCAGACCTCTAAAATCCATATACTCGTTTCCAAACCTGTCCTTCAGGCAGAAATTATGTTAGCATTACTTAGCTTGGAGCGCAAACAAAACGATTCTTCAAATCCAACTCGAATTCGCAAATTTCTCTTTCTTTCTTACTCATTTGGAATTGAGACGATAAATACGTTCATACACTTCCGTAGTTCCCTCGATAACCATACCCGTTTTCAGACCAAAACAGCGCAAAAACCCTACCAGATGGGGTGGCACATACCTGTATACTAGCTTATATAGGAGAGTACCCCCCGGGTTTGGAAGGCTGAAGTTTTGAAAAGGAGGACAACATGCATCTCAGCTTTCAAATTCCGTGTTGCTTTTAAGGACGTGGTACTTTAAAATCTTGTTCCTTAATTTTCAGCACCCTCTTTTCTTCAGAGACCCCTTTATCTCTCTCTTGAAATTAAGAACTTTTGGTTACGCTTCCCCTCATGGTGCAGTTCGAATCCTAAAAATACTGGATGGATGAACAATATCTGTAACTCACTTCAAGTGGTTTCTGTGTTCCCTTTCTTATTTTGAGGCAAGAGGTTTCTTGTTTGTGCAAAACAATGTGGAAGAAAAATAGCTTTCTTGATTTTTCTTGTGCTTGACGCTCTGCGCACCGAGCTCTTTACAAAACATTCCCATATTGTTGACAGTTTATAAAGCAAGGAGGTTGATTCAGCGAAGTATATATTTCGGCATTTGCATGAAATGGAGCAAACCTAAAAGCGGAGCTTTCATTAAAATTCATAAGAAGGAGATATTATTTAAGGCACATTATAAAAAAGATTTAATAGAGAAGGTCCTGCAAATAATAATCTATAATAATGTATAAAGATCATTGCTACATGCACTTTTAACATACTCTCCCCTTGTACTATAGACATTTGTAAACAAGGCTTGCAAAGAGCAACCACTCCTTAACAAGTGCTGTAATCAGAATTTATGTGCTCATGGTGGCACCTGCACTGAGTTAAGTGACGACGCTAAAAACAAGTTCAACTGTACATGCGCAGTGGGATATTACGGCAGACTTTGTCAGAAACGAAGAGCAACGTCTTGCAAAGAGCAACTACGGAAAATCAAAGGGAGCCAGTCCGGAGTGTATCAACTGTTTGACCCAACGACTATGTCCATGTACGAAGTCTTTTGTGATGCTGTCTCTGAAAAAGGATTCGTTTGGACTTTGATTGAATCTTTCAGCTTTCGAAATAATAATGAATTTGCCGATAAAGCATTTTACAAAGAGTATCCGCTAAACCAGGAAGCCTTTACATGGAGCAAGTTTCGTCTGTCTTGGTCACGCATGATAACCACAGCAAAGCGCTCAACGCACGTGCGAGCAACGTGCAACTTTAACACTGAAGAACTTAAATACAGAGATTACTTAAGGGCCAAGTTACATGATATCGACGTTATGCGCTTTAAAGGCCGTGGTGCATGTAAAAAATACGAATTTATTAGCATCCGAGGATATAACTGTAGCAACTGCACGGCTCAGTTCGTCCAAACAGATAATTGGCATGCGCATACTGATTCGTTTTGGGGTCCAAAGATCGGGTGTCAGTTTACCAGCCAATCCACAGGTGCAGTGAAGTTACCGGGAGGGGAGGATAACTTCGGATGGTATGAAACAGTCAATCCGGTTCACAGATGTGTATCGAGTGATGATTCCACCACTCAGTGGTGGTTTGGAGTTCGGCATCACTAGGCTCTCCAGCCTAAAGGTGGATTTCCACTTACGCGGTTTTGGCACGTTAACGAAAGTAAATTTCAATCGCGTAAATAAAATAGAGGCAAGATAAGAGGTGCTGAGCTTAAACGAGAAGTTGAGCGAGGTTCAACTTTTACGCTTACGTGCGACCTTTCATGCATTGCCTCTATTTTATTTGCGAACGTAAATTTTACGCACGTACGCACGTACGCACGTAAAAATTACTCGACACTGGAAATCAACCCTTAGGGTTAGGGTTAGGCAAATAAAATAGAGACAATGTATGAAAGGTCGCACGTAAGCGTAAAAGTAGAACCCCGCGCAACTTAACGTGTAATCTCAACGCTTCATATCTTGCCTCTATTTTATTTACGTGATTAAAATTTACGCGCGTTAACGTGCGTAGCCAAAAACGCGTCAGTGGAAATCAACCTCAAGGGTAGATTTCCACTGCCGCGTAATTTTTCCGTGCGTACACACGTGAATTTTACGCGCGTAAATAAAATGGAGACAATGTACGGAAGGTCACGCGTATACGTAAAAGTTGAACCTCGCTCAACTTTTACGCTTACGTGTGCCCTTTCATATATTGCCTCTATTTCATTTACGCGCCTTCGCAGGGAAAAATAGCGCGACACTGGAAATCAACCCTATTAAAGTCAGTCACTCTTTGAAAACAATTTATAATGTTTTATTAATCTAATATCATTATCTTAAATGTGAACTTGCATGCGTATGGATGCTTTATTGTCAGAACGGTAAGAGAGTAACAGTTTCCAAATGCAGCAAGTGGCCCCTGCATTGCACCTACCGGACATGCACACTGTGCATGATTCCATGCTGGCATTTTCTGAGCTCGTGCCTTGCAGTGCAGCGCCAGAAGCCTTGGAATTTAACATAAATCCTCGCTTATTTATCCTTATTAGACGAGTTTCGTTGCTGCCACTCGTGTACTTACCACATTGGGCTTATTTCAATCTGCATATTTAATTGAAAATCTCCGATGAAATGGTTTAACAATAAATTGGCCTCCTTCGGTAGATTTGCTTAAAAATTCTAGCACCAGGTGTATCATTATACTGGTTAATTTTCTGCCGTTTTGGGTTTTGGCACGTACATTTCCGTTTAGCGTCAATTAAAATCAACGTGATTGACGTTTCGTCAGAGAGAAACAGAAATTATAACGCGTACCGTAAATCTATGTCAAGGCGCGTTTAAATTATGGGTGGATGCGCTTAAGTTGTTACACTCTTAACTTCATCACCCTCATTTTGGAAAAATTTTGTAAATAGCTAATCCTATCTGATGCATTATTATGATTTTCTAATCAATTTTTCATACATAACTGTTATTTCCTCCGACCTTTTTAACTCGTGGGTACGCGCGAGCGTACCACGAGTTATTGCAGGGACAGGAATATGCAAATGAGTCACTCGCTCACTCGTAGTAGACGCACTTCGTAATTAATCGGGTCCGAACTCGAGAGCGCGAAGATCTATCGTTTCCAAAGAAGCACGCGCTGGCCAAAGTTCGGTGGCATCAAATTCCTCGCTGAGAGCGTGCATCGTGCGCTGCAGCACGGTTAGAGGATAGAGGTCTTGCCAAGTTTAAGACAGGCAGGAATCTTTCAGGTTAGTACGATTCAAGAGCCTTTGACTCGTCCAGGCGTTAAACTTGACGAGAAGATGAGCATTTGCTCTTCGACTCCTTCAACTTCGACGCTGGCTTGATCTCCTACCTTGTAGTAATGTAGTAGGTTATGTGTATGAATGAATGTATGGTAAATAAAGGCACTTCTTCTTCTTCTTCTTCTTCTTCTTCTTC